TTTATATAACCCTAGAAATGTTACATTTAAGCAATTTATAATTTATCACATAACCTTTAATTATTGTTGTTAAGTGCCGTCGAGTCGGTTCTGACTCATAGAGACCGTGTATATATAGAGTTTCCAAGGAGTGGCTGTTGAGTTCGAACCACCAACCTTGCGGTTCAAACAGATCTTGCGGTCTAGGGCTTATCCTATAGCACCACATCAGGTCTATGATTTAAATTGGTAATGAATATTACTAAGGATTCTGTATGATCTGGTATGGGAGGCCCATTGGGGGGGTGTCACAGTAACTCAATGACGTCACTGGAGTTGTAAGGACCAAACTGATTTTGCCTACCTAGAAACTGCTTGACTAAACTCTAGTCAGGCTCAGGAAAGCATTTTAAATAGACAAGGCCTCAGTTTTTAGTTTCCTCCAGAGGCAAGGTCAATCTCCATTCTGTACATTAGCCTGAACACGTCCTCTAGCTCCAAGAATATGATATATGCATAAAGAGCCAGGCAGCTCAAGGCCAGAGGCCAGCTGTTTTCCTTTACCCTAGCCTAAGAACAAAGACCACCAGTCCTGACCAATTAAACTGTAACATCTCATAGTTTGCCAATTGTTAACCAATCCAAAGATTGTAAAGCTGAGAAACCTGAGCTGTTTGAAAATTCTATAAAAACCCTGCAGACAATGAATTCGGGGCTCTTTCCCTATTCCGAAATGTCGGATAAGGTTAGAGACCTGGCTCGAGCTTGATTAAACAACCCTTATGTATTTGCATTGGTACACGGCTCCTGGGTGGTCTTTGGGGACCCTGAATTCTGGGCATAACAGAGTAAGGGTAGGCGAATCCAGGGAAAGAAGGATGTAGATCATCTTGTTCAAGGTTGAGATCTTGATTTCTTTTTTTCTTCTTTTAAACCACCATTTTTCTGCCTTAGCACTGGTCTGGTGAGGTTCACCTTCAGAGCCACGACTCTGGACGCTATCAACGACTAGCCACAAGGGGGCGGTGTTGTACCGCGTTGGTGGAGTACCTCCAACGCTCTTGGGGCATTGCAGGAGCTCGAGGTATTAGAGTGGGTATTGGGGAAGGGTGTGTGTGGCGGAGGGAAGTCTATTACAAGACGTGGAACGTCTCCAAAGACACTGAGGCCACAGGGTGGCGTGTGACCCAACGAAAGGCAGTGGAAGCCCGAGACCTCCGGGAGCATGTTACCACTGCGCTCCGTGGGACAGGGTCACTAGAGCAGTGGGCATTTGTGGAGAGTGTGGCTTCGAAGGGGCGTAGCTCCCTCGGTGGGTGTGGCTTCCCGCAGAGGATGGGATAAGGGGCGGCACGGCACGCCCACCGGAGTGGACCTGGGTGGGCGAGCAGGACTCCAGGACCAGCCTAGGGAGCTGGTATGGAAGGGGGCGGATTTTTACCTACAGAACTAACTGGATGCGCCCGATGTTCCAAACACGACTTTCACTGGGTGTGGGGTGCACCACATATAGGGTGGTGGTATAAGGTCATGGGAGGGGTAAGGGATGGGGGGGCGCTTTAACTCCACTTTCCCTGGTTCTGTTCTATTCAGGAAGCGAAATCTGGGGGAAGTGGAGGATGGGAGGTAACTTCCAAGAAGAACCATAAAGAGCGAGGCTCCATCGGGCGAGGAAGGAATCCCAGCTCCGTGGGAAACAGCGGGTCTTGGGCACTGTCCGGGACGCGTCCCCTTCCGGTCTGCATCTACAGGGGCAGTTCAAGGACTTTCTGGTGGAAGGGAAATTTGGTGCAGAGGTCAGCCTGGGGGCGTTGGGAGTGGGCAGTTTACGGGATGACCTCAGCTTCTTCCTCTAACAAATCAACTCTCCCAATCCTAGCCTTTCAGCCCCTCCCACTCCCCAGTGGTCTTGGAAGATGCACAACTGAAAGAGATGCCTCTGTCCTGGACCTTGCGCCCCTGCCTCCCCCCACCCCCGTCCACTGCCGTCCAGTCGATTGGCATAGAGAAAACCTCATCTTTTTCCCATAGAGCACCTGGTGGATTTGAACAACCAACTATCAACCGTTGGCACCCCAGTGCTACCAAGGACTCCTTGGACCTGTGCTGGAATACCAAAATGACTTAGACAACCCCAGGCCCTGCCTTCACTGCGGCAGATGGTGACCACCCAGATAGTGACCACCCAGAAAGATCAGGGTTCATTCTGGGATAAGGGGTGGGGAACATCCAGCGGGTAATAGGATCCAATGGGGAAGGGGAGGGACTCCTGCCTCAGCCTGGGAGGTCAGAGGATTTAATTTAGAAAGGAGTAAGGGGTCTTGGAAGAAGATTGGCTTCTCAGAAGCGGAAATCTGAAGATACCGTGTCAGGAAAAGGTGTTCTAGGCAAAGAGACTGGTATATGCAAATCTCGGAGAAAGAAAGTCTCCCAGAGGCCTTTGCTCGCTCCCTGGGGATTCCTTGGGGGTGTGGCAGAGCCTTCAGTCACAGGTTCCCTAGTCCCGGGCAGTCACAGGCTAGTCAAGGGGCCACACTGTTAACTCTTGAGGACTTGTTTTTCCACAGCCTGATAGTTGTGATTTCGGGCCTTGAGTCTGCCAGAAGTGAGGTTTGAATCCTTACTTCCCCACTAACCATGTCTGTGGCCTTGTTTTAGTCACCTTCTCCATGCATCCAGTAGGAATATAATGTTGAGTGTCACAAAATGAGTCACCTCATTTTAAAGAGCTATCAAGAATTAAAATATGCAACGTTACATATATAAAATCTATAGATTATAAGCAATGGACTGAAAGGTCAGTTTGAATTGCAAGGTCGGCAGTTCAAACACATCAGCTGCTCCTCGGAAACTCTACACAGGGTCACTGTGAGTCAGACTGATTTGTCGGTTTTTAACAACAAAGTAGATTATAAAAAGGTACTAGAGACTATGATCTGTTGAATGTAAAACTGATGAGCTGCTTTGTATACCTTCTCAATTCACAACAGAAAGTTAAAAAAAAAAAAGGGTCTAGAAAAAAATTTTAAAACCACATTTCTGTGGAGTCCATTCTGACTCATGTTGTTAAGTGCCATCAAGTCAGTTCCGACCCATAGCGACCCTGTATAGCGTTTCCGATGAGCGACTGGCGAGCTTGAACTGCCAACCTTGCAGTTCAAATGGCTTTGCAGTCTGGCGCATTTACCCACCGTTCCACCCAGGATAGAGTATATCTGCTCCTTATAGTTTCTGAGACTAACCCTTTGCAGGAGCAGACAGACATCTTTCTTCTGCAGAGCAGCTGGTGGGTTTAAACCACCAACCTTGTGGTTAGCAGACCAACACTTAACCCACTGTATCGCCAGGGCTCATGTGTTGTGGTTTTTAGTGCTAAGTCGGTTCTGATTCATAGTGACTTGTATAGCGTTTCTGAGGCTTTAAATCGAGGGAACAGAAGACCTCATTTTTCTCCCATGGAGCGGCTGGCAGGCTCAAATTGCAGAACTTGTGGTTTGCAATCCAGTGCTTACCTTATGGAGCCGCTGTGCTCCCAGGGTTCCAAAAAAGGCTTAAGAAAAACAAACAATCCACAGCTGCCGTGTCTGCTTAGGTGCCATCAAGTCAGTTCCAACTCACAGTGACCTTGATTTCCGAGAAGTGGTTGGTGGGTTTGAACTGTCACCTTTTGGTTCAAATAGGCTTTGCAATCAGTGCTTATCCTAAAGTGCTACACCAGATGGTGGTGGTGGTAGTGTGCCTTGAAGTCGGTTCCGACTTATAGCGACCCTCCATGGGGTTTTCGAGGCTGTAAATCTTTATGGGAGCAGAAAACCTCATCTTTCTCCCCACAGAACGGCTGGTAGTTTCGAACTGCTGACCATGAGAGTAACAGTTTGACTTGTGACCACTACACTACCAGAGGACTATAGGAAATGTAATTGATGAAGTAAGAATTTGAAGCATAAAGATAGACTATTTCAAGCTTGATTATTCAACATTTTAATACTGAAATAATTAGCAGCAGTTTCTAAGTTTTTTTTTTTTATATACCTTGGTTCAAAATCTGTAAGGAACAGAGATGGGTGATTAATTTTTGGCACCATTTAGCATTTGTCTCTCAAGTACTGAGTCAGCATTACCTGTTACATGGTTATGACTCAGGTAATTCTGCAAGGAGCCCCCTTTCCCCTCCTGTTTTAGTTGGTGACTCGGGAGGGAAAGTCTGTGCCCACACCCTGCCCCTCCCAGAAACACATCCAGTTTCTCCCAAGGGTCACCATTATATTCTTCCTTTATTGGCTGTCTTGTATAATACAAATCTGAAAGTTTAGATACAAAAAAAATCTGGAAATAAAAGATAGAAAATTACCTGCCAGGCACCCCTTCCCTTTCTGTCCAGACCCCCCTCCCCTCCAAGTGGGCACAGATATGAGGTAACTGAACATCTTCCCCTTCCCCACTTCCTGGGTCCCCAACTTGGCCCCTGTTTGACCTTAACCCAAGAAAGGTATGGGCAAGGTGGAGGGGCGAGAGGGGAGAGCACAACACTGGCAGTGAACGCAGTGGGTGGGCAGAGGGAAGCCCTTAGCTTGTGCTGTGTTATGTTGGGGAGCTGACCAGACCTGGGGTGGGCACTAGTGTGAGACCCAGGAGAGCCCCTATGTGGGCATTTCTCCTCTGTCCCTGGAAGGTTGAAGGTCAACAACAGAAACGGGGAGGATGTAGCTTGAACAGAGGGCATTCAGTGGGATCATGGCCATCCCTGTGTCTGGGGTGGGGGAAGAGGGCATTGCCAGGTTAAGTCTGGCAGTGAAATGAGTCCCTTAGCCAGGCTGGGTCCGTCCCTGAATTCCATCCTGTCACAACCTGGGCGTCCCAATGTTAGTTCCATAGTGATTATGGGGGTGGTAGAGAGAAGTGGTTAGAAAGAGTGATGGGGCAGGGGCACAGCCCCAGGGAGCAGGACCAGAGAAGGGGTTGTGCCTCCACTCCCAAGCGTGGGACACTGGAGATAATGGGATGGGGAGGGGTGGCTAGGGTTACAGTTCAATCTCAAAGGTCTTCTGCAGGTCCCCAGAGAAGGGGTTGGAAGGTTTCTCTGTGGCAGATTTTCCTTCTAACGCTGCCCACTGGGCCTCAAAGGGGTCCAACTCAGGGGCTGAGGCGGGTGCTGGCTCAGGGGGCCAAGGGGCCCCATTGGGACGTGGGTGGGTCTGACCCCCAGGGACACTGGGTGCGACAGGGGGTGGGAAGGCCCCAGCTTTTCCGAGTAGGGTGGCGGGCTGGGGCTGGAGCTGGGCGGCGGAGCAGAAGGCGTTGGCCACCATTTGAGAGGGTGTGATGCCCACCACGGGCACCCGGGGCATGGGCGGGTAACCCAGGCCTGGGTATGCGGGCACAAATGGGGGCTGCATGTGTGGGGGTGGCAGGAACACAGCTCCCTGGGCAGGGGCTGTGTCGAAGGGCCCCAAGGGAGCAGGGAAGGGCTGCAGGGAGGGGAGTATGGTGGGCACAGAGGGCACTGAAGCCCCTTGTTGCTGTTGCTGCTGCTGCTGGACCTTGGCCACCTGGGACACCTCCTCCAGCCACCGCTCAGCCTCCGAAGGTGTCCGCTTGTGCCCAGGCTGGAAGGCAGTTGCAGGGGGCCCGGAGGGCTCACCCCAGGCAGAAGTCCCTGGAGAGAGGAAGAGGGCAAGTGAGGGGCCTGGGCAATGGCAGACAGACCCCAGCTGGCACTAAGGATGGCATGGCAACTGGAGCACAGTCTCTGGAGCCAGACTTCCTGCCTCTGAAGTTCAGCTCTGCTCCTTGTGAGCTCTAACTGATTGGGCACATGGCTTTAATCATCTGGACCGCACAATGGTTCTGTGGTACTAAGAACATCTGGTTCTGAGATTCTGGATAAGCCTCAGCAGGATTTAGAGTCAGTTTGGTTTCCGGTCTGACTGGTCAGTGCTAAACCTGTTAGTAAATATTTTGAGCATCATCCTTGATTCCAGTTTCTTGCGAAGGGACGGGTTCAGGAGACTGAGACTGTCAAACTGCATGGATTGCTCTCAGTGGGTACTATTGTAACACAGTGAAGCGCAATGGCTTTAAGGCCATATTTCCTAAGAGCCTAGGCTTCTAAATGTGCGCTGTTTGAGATTCTAAGGTGCTCCCATGGTTCTAGAATGAGCCTAGAATACGGTATTCTGTTCTCAGAGAACGCTCCTCTGAAGGTGTGGAATTCTGAGACTTCAGAGTTCCAAATCAGTTACAGTTAGGCTATAGCAAGGCTGTACGTTTCTAAATTTGTGGGTCTAAGATAAGACGGGTTTTTTTTAATTGATACCGTAGAGTTCTAGAATAATCTCATGGCCCTAAGGTGATCCAATGGCTCTGAGATGACCCCATGACTCTAAAATAATCCCATGGCTCTGCGGTGATCCAATGGCTCTAAGATGGCCCCATGGCTCTGATGTGATCCCATGACACAGGTGACCCCATGGTTCTGAGGTGATCCAATGGCTCTAAGTTGGTCCCATGGCTCTGAGGTGATCCCATGGCTCTGAAGTGATCCCATGGCTCTCAGGTAATCCCATGGCTCTAAGATAATCGATCCCATGGCTCTGAGGTGATCCCATGACTCTATGATGGTCCGTCCCATGGTTCTAAGGTGAGCCCATGACTCTCAGGTGATCCCATGGCTCTGAGGTGATCCCATGGCTCTATGATGGTCCATGGGTCTAAGCCCGTGGGATTCCACAGTTCCTGGAGCTTCTGGGTAATGGTAAATAGAGAGGGGACAGATACAGGAGGGGCACTGTAGGACATGCACCCCAGCAGAAGCACCAGGCTTACCTGTTGTGGCCGGCGGTGGCCCAGGCGCTGGAGCCCCAGCACTGGCGAAAGACGAGCTGATCTGTGTGCACAGAGCATTGATGTTGTCACTGTCATTGGCACCAGGAGGCTCCATCTCAGGCACTGGGAAGTTGGGGAAGGGAAGGTCAGTGAGGAGGCCCAGACGCTACCCCAGTCCTGCCCCTGCCCCCAGGTCCTCAGGTGGCCCTTCCCTCACAAGGTTGGTGCTCACTCTTCAGTAACTGAGCAGCCAAGGCCACCACACTGACAAGTCTGTGCATATGTGTGGGACACAGTCAAGTTTGTTGTTATTGTTGTCAAGTGTCATCGAGTCAATTCCGACTCATAGCGACCCTGTATAGGGTTTCTGAGGAGCGGTTGGAAGAACTGGACCCAGTAGTCCAGTGTTTATCCTACTGGGTCACATCAGGACAGTTAAGTTTACTGTGTGACATTTGATGCCAGACAGTAAGAGGTGGAGAAGGACCCAGAACCAAGATTCATGGGATCACAAGCCAGAAGAAATACCGAAAATGTTTAACAACATATACACATGAAAAGTCTGCTTAAGCACATAATTATAGATTGTTTTACCTCCAAAATCTGTGCTGTAGATGCTTCCCTCTATACCTGTGGTCATAATCCCGTATGGGAATGGGGGGGGAGGTTCCTTAGTTTTGTTAATGAGATTGACTTGATGGTACTTGAACAAGGACAACAACGTCTTAAGTCAACCTCTTTAGAGATATTTGGTGTTGTGGTTGTTGTTAAGCACCAGTCGATTCTCACTCATAGTGATGCTGTCTGTATAGGGTTTCCAAGGAGCAGCTGGTGAGTTTGAACTGCAGACCTTGTGGTCCAAACTGACCTACAGCGCCACCCCAGGACTCCTTTGGGGATATAAAGAAGATTACACAAGCTGAAGGCAGAGATGGAGGAAGTTAAATATCATGCCTCATGAATACCACCACCAAGGAGCTAAAGGATAGGAGCTAAAGAGACAAGAGCCAAAGCCAACAGAGAGAGAACACCTCTCCCGACAGCCGGCACCCGGATTTTGGACTTCTAGCTTCCTAAATTATGAGAAAATCATTTCTGTTTGTTAAAATCACCCAGCATGGGGTTTCTGTTACAGCAACACTAGAGAACAAAGACACAAATGTACAGAAAGGGCATGGACAAGCCAGAATGGATGTTGGTCACACTGTTGTTCTCTGTCTGAGGATGCTTAATCTCGCTTTGGGCACACAGGCAGGGCCTTGTGCACCCAACCTGCCCCACCCCCGCCCCATGATAGGTATCACAAGAGCAGAGATGGCCCTGAGTCATCTACACAGGTCTGTGACGACCTCAGGAAGGGTTGGGATGAGCTAAACCATCAAAATTGACAAGAGATTACCACCAAAGGCCTGTGACTTGACACAAGTTGGCTATCTCCAAAGAGCGTCAGAACAAAACTCGGCTGCAGGGGTCAAGAGGTGGAAGGCGGACTGCTCAGGTGAACTGGGTAACTAACTGTGTGTGGCTTCCAGGTCAAGTCTGCAACAGCTGTGTGTGTGAAGACCAAACGGGCGTGTGGCTGAAATCCAGGTGTGTGTCCTAGTGTAAATGAGTCCACCCGCGTGGCGTGTGAGTGTGTGTGATCTGCAAGCAGGACTCCGGGTGTGCAGGGATCCGGCTGTGTGGGCTCTGAGTGTGTGCAAAGCTGATGGGTGAGACACTGCAGCATGTAGTTTCTGCGTGTGTGTGACTCTGTGGGAGCCCTGAGGGGGACAAGTGTGTTAACATCTGCATGTGTGTATTGTTTCTGAGTGTGCATACCTGACACCGGGCGGGTGACTTCTTCCCAGGTTGTGTAGTCTCTGGGTGTAGATGACTCTGAGCATGTGTCTTCCGAATGTGAAAGTGGCAGTTATGCCAGTCTATGAAACTCATGTTGCAGGTCACTTCTAACTGCGTGTGCACTGGCTGCAGGAACATGAGGCTTCCAAGGAAAGCCTGGGGCCCTGCCACGTCTTGGGGAGCATGTGTGCTAAGCCCGGGTATATATATACTTAGTGAGGACAACAAGTGCATCTGGTATCGATCTGAGGGTGGGTGGCGTCCAAGGGACACAGCAGGACACGAGCAAGTGTGCGTCACTCTCAGCAAGTGTTGGCAGCTGCCCAATTGCTACCTTTTGGAACAGCCCTGCCTCGTGGATACAGATGGACACCCGCCCACACCAACCCTAGGCCAGGAGCGGAGGTGTCTCAGACTTGGCAGATGGCAGCAGGGGAGGGGACTGGACCACACGACTTTCCCGACTGCTGGCTTCTCCCTTGGGCAAAAATATGGTCCTTTGCCACCATTCTCTTGTCCCTTGCCTACGGGCAAGCACTGCTTTCAGTTCATGATAGATGCTGTCTCTTTCACGAGTTGTAATCTTTTGGTTTGGGCATATGAATGAGTGGTACAGTTTGTGTTGGACTGCTAAGCTGTTTGTGGTTTAAACTCATCCAGTGGTGCTGCGGGATAAAGACCTGGCAGTCTGCTTCTGTAGTGAAAACTCTATGGAGTAGTTCTATAACACTTGGGCTTGCCATGAATCAGAATCATCTCCATAGCAACGGTTTGTTTGTTTTTTAATTTTCCTTTCCTGGCTTTTTGCGGAGTCTTTGCAGTATTATAGGACCTTATGTGGAATTCTGAGCCCCATCCAGAACCTTCTGAGGTGGGACATTCCCACTAGAAAGGACAAGCAGACCAGCCTGAAACAGCTAGAGAAGCACAAGATACATCTTCAAAGAAAGATCAGCAGGAAAAATTCAAAACAAAAATAGCAGTATCACTACAAGAACAAGCAAGTTATTTGCCAGGAAGCCAGCAAGGCAAGCAATCAAGTTCCTTCAGGACAAACCCCCCTCTAAGACTGAAACTCAGAGGGAATACATGAGCAGCCATGTAAGCTTGCTGGTGACCACATTGGTCTACTGATGAGTCGAAGAGGGGAAAAGGCAGCAATGAAGAAATGGGCTGAGTTCAACCACACTCCATAGACTCCCATTGACCTGGAGATGAAACAGAGAAGAGGAAGGGCTGGTTGGTCTAAAATGTGGTGAGACCTGGGGACTCCTGAGCCCATGGACAAGGACATAGCCACGGAGGGCCAGAGCTGAGAGTGAAACATCCAGCTGACATGAAGTGTGGGGAGATGCACAAGAATGCCCAAACTTACAGATAGTATCCATTTGACCTAGCCTCGATGGCTTGATAATCAGAACTCGACTAGAAGAAGATAAAAAAAAGTTTTTGATAAAGAAAACAAGTGTAAATTACTATAATTTGATGAACTTGACCTATACTTATGGATGTAGTAGCTCAAAATACCAACTGAGAGGGAAGGAGTCTTCATATCAAGTATCAATCCTATTCCCTCTGTATACAGGGTAGATTAGGGATGGGCAATTTAGGCATTGGCTACCTAAAATGAGGGGGCGATAAAGGCACAAAGTGACTGGCTTACAAGTTTTCAAGAGGGAGTTTAGTTTCAGAGTGTGTGGGGAAAGGTAAAGTCCCCACTGAATAGTTTTCATCTTGTCTAGATGGGTCTGGTGAAAAGAGATGGGAATAAGAATCCTATGATTCAATAGTGAGAAATTGTTTTCATGATTAATTGCAACTGTCACAACTGTAAAGGTATTAAGTTTTGTTAAGAAAAATGGGGGAGTAGTCAATCTTACAGCCCAGAAACAGAGGATCCTAGGACCATCAATGAGAAGAGCCTGAGCAGAGTGTGGGGCCCTATTCAGAGAAGCAACAACACTAGAGATGGAGGCAGAGATGAGGAGATGGAGAGAGGAAGCATCTGAGGACTCTGGACTCATTGAAAGAGAGGGACTGGGTACTGTCGGCCAGGAGGCAGGCTTGCAGAATGTGTCCTTTGGTTGTTTAAATTATTATATATTCCTGAGTATTTCTGTGTACATCCCTAACCCCCCTCCAAAAAACAAACAAACAAACAAACAAACAGGGAATGGAAGCAAATACTGTTGAATGATGATGCATGAGGACACTGTAATAATCATTGCAATGAAACGGTGTAAAGCTGATGTTCTCCCATGTAAACTATCACTCAGTTCACAATAAAAACTTACCCCCCCAAAATTATATATATATATACTTTCCTTTGCTGTTGGCAGACATTATTAATCAAGCACTATCTTTTTTCCCCAGAGTTCTTTGCTCACTTTAGCCCTCAGTGAATCAGAACTCATGCTGGAAGAGAGGACAAGTCCTTGGAACTTCATCTTTCCTTTAAACCAAACATCTATGCTGCCCTTCTCCTATGCCTTATTTATGGCAGACATTGCTAGTCAACCATGATATGCCATCTCTTTCCTCTACATTGTCCCAGGAAGACCTGGCTACCAATTAGAATGACAATCACTACCTCTGTCTAATCTCTTGCCCACACAGACGTGACTAACACATCACAATGTTCCTCGATCCCTGTGATTCTTCCACTCACCTACGTCCTTCACCTCTAGTTTCCACTGTCCAAATTATGGGAGTCTTCCCTTGGGCAAAAACAAGACTTTTGGCTGTTTTCTCTTCTCCCCTGTCCCTGCAAACTCTGCCAATCAATCATGTAGTTAGTCATCTCTCTTCTTTCTCTTGCTTATAGCAGACATTACTAGGAGATCATGATATCTGCTACTGTTCAAGATTCCCTGTTCAAGATGTTGTTGTTGTTGTGAAGTGCCGTCGAGTCGGTTCCGACCCATAGCGACCCTGTACAGGGTTTCCGAGGGTGTAAATCTTTACGGGAGTAGAAAACCTCATCTTTCTCCCGCGGAGCGGCTGGTAGTTTCGAACCGCTGACCTTAAGGTTCGCAGCCCGATTCGTAACCACTACGCTACCAGAGCTGTTCAAGATAGGCATTGTTAATCCATCACAATCCTTCTTTCCTTTGTGCCAGATCTCATGACTCTGTAGTCAAAGACTTGGTAGCACAGGCCGTGTGCCCCAGTCTTCTCTTAGGTAAAATCATGGCAACTGTGCTATTTCTCTTTTTGCCTCTGTCCACGGTAGACATCCCTGCCACAGCAGACATTACTAATCAATCAGACCTGTACCACCTATCCTATCTAATGTCCATGGCAGACATGGCTAATTGATCTGGATACATTCTACTTCTCTGTCCTTTGCCCATAGCAGACAGTACCAATCAATCATAATGTGTTTCTCCTTTCCTGTATTCTCTGCCCACAGCAGACAGTGCTGATTCAGTCCAATGCTCCTTCCCACTGAGCCCGGGGCTCACCTGTGCCCTTCACCTGGAAGTCAGTGCGACGCTGCAGTGTGGAAGGCAGCTCATTCAGCCGCAGGCTTAGCTGCCGTTTAAAAGGTGAGTTCTTCTGGCTGAGTGCGGGAAACCCACGGAAGGAGCCCTGGCGAACCAGCTGTTCCAGAGGGGCGTGGCGCCGGGGGATGGCTGCCGCAGTGGTGCCCGCAGCCACCGGGGTGCCTGCCTCACCCTTCTCACCAGGGGACGTGGTGGCTGGCGTCGGGGATACATGTCCAGGCTGGGCAGGGCCTGGAGCCACAGTGGGGGCAGCTGCTGCCTCTGCTGGAAACACAAGAGAACCAGATGGTTAGAGACTTCACCTTGGCATTCAAGCCTTGATTGTTCCACAAGCTGCCTTCCTTGTCCTGAAGACAGGCTAGTCAGCGTTCTGAAACCCCTCCTGTCCTATTCAAGTCAAGACCACTGTCTCTTGGAGCTTCCTGGAGAATCTTCTCCCAGGTTGACTTGTCTCTCTCTAGCTACTGGCTCAAATCTTTCTTCCTCTGCCACTTACTTTCTCCCTCTCTCCCTGCGACCCTCCAACTCCCTTTCTGATGAATGTAACACACATTTGGCCCAAGAGACATTATTCCCAGTGCTTTGTAAACATGAACTTATCCATACCCACAACAACCCATTTTATAGATGTGGTGACTGAGGCCCAGCAGTAGGAAGGAGGATGTTGACTGCCTTGAACTGCCTTTCTGTCTCAGTCTTCCCCATGATGGCTTTCTCTCATTCTATCTGCTCTTCTCTTGGTCTCCCTCACACCATTCTTCCCACTTCAAATACCTCCCTTCTTTCAATTGCTACCCGTCCCTCTAGACAGACTTCATCCTCCGAGCAGCTTTCAGGTGGTTCCAGCCCCTCAGCTGGAGCTCCCTCTTCTTTGAGACTGTTCTCTGTGCTCCAGGAAGGATAATTTAGTCTCCCCACTTAACAAAGAGGATAGGTCCCACCTACCTCTGCCAATACACAAACACAATTTTTGATAAAGGAAACAGGGTAAATTGCTACAATTTGATGACCTTGACCTATATTTATAGATGTTGTTGTTATGTGTCGTGGAGTCGGTTCCGACTCATAGCGACCCTGTAAAGGGTTTCCGAGGCTGTAAATCTTTATGGAGCAGAAAGCCTCATCTTTCTCGCGCGGAACAGCTGGTAGTTTCGAACTGCTGACCTTAAGGTTCGCAGCCCAATTCGTAACCACTACGCTACCAGAGCTCCTTTACTTATAGATGTAGTAGCTCAAAATACCAACTGAGAGGGAAGGAGTCCTCCCATGAGTCCTCAGCCTGAATGCTAGGAGGATGAAACTCTGACCCAGAAAGGGCAGTGAGATGCCCCAGAGTTGCTTCTCCCATCTCCCAGGTTGAGGTGACTAATGTCAGCACACAGACCTGGTCTGGAGTAGTGGAAACAGCCTGGAACAGGGTGGGAATAGGAAGCCACCTCTGCCTCCACCTCACTGGGAGACCTCAGGAAGTTTCCCTCCCCACTCTGGCTCGTTTCCCCAACTGTTGTTGTTGATTTTAACCAGAGCCCACATTGTTCTCAATGACTGATTTTCAGGAAGAAGACTGCCAGACCTTTCTTCCAAAGCACCTCTGGATGGACTGAAACCTCTAATCTTCTGGTTAGCAACTGAGTATGCATGTTAACAGACTGTACCACCCAGAGGGTCCTTCCCCAAATGTAACCTGGGGTAAGCATCCCTGTGCTATCTTCCCTGGGCCTTCTGACAAGGCCATTTGAGGCAGTGAATGTTAAATGCTTTGGAATCTGGCAAACAGCCTTGTGAAAAATATACTCCTCTGTAATTCCCAAAGTAAATAGGAAAAAAAAACGCTTGGTCAAAGTGCCATGCCTTTGCGATAGGTCTGGCAAATCAGAATTTCCTTTGTAGGCTCTCATTTTGCTGTACAAACAATGAAGTGTTTTGTATAATGCAAAGTGCCTGGAATTTATAATATCCTTTGGAAACAGTAAAACCTTTTGCAAACGTTGTTAACATGCTTTGCATGTGACAACGGTCTTTGTAAATTCTAATATCCTATGAAAATGGTGAGAAAAGTTTCCGAACTGAAAAGATAGTGCAGCCAGTGTGGGCTTTCTAAATAGTTAAACATGATTCCAGCCCTTTGTCAATTTCACTGTGGTTAGTTGCTATCAGGTTGGCTCCAAACTGGTGACATTATTTATATATAACAGAATCCAACATTGCTGTCAAGTCCTGTGCCATCTTTCTAGATTGCTGGTGTGTTTGAGTCCACAAGAGTCTGTTTCACCACTGGTTAAAATTCTTTACTCATTTCAATGCGTAGTGAATGTTATTGTTGATGTTATTAAGTTCTGTCAACTTGGTTCCAATTCAGAGTGACCCTGCTTGGCGTTTCTGAGGCTTTAAATCTTAGGGGAAGCAGAAAGCCCTTCATCTTTCTCCCTTACAGTGGTTGGTGGGCTTGAATGGCCAATCTTGTGGTTCGTAGTCCACTGCTTATCTTATGGAGCCACCAAGCTCCCCTTAATACATTATGTAAACAGTAAAATGCTTTATGCACTGCAAAGAACTTTTAAGGACTGTGAGTGGTCATGTGAAAATATACCTTGTAAACGCTAACTGATAAAATCTGGTTTCTTAAATCTTTATTTAGAAAAACAATTTAGCAGAAAGTTGCACTAATAAAATAATGAAAACTCATTACTGAGCATTCATAAATGGTCCACAGTGTTACCTTATTTGCTCATGTTATTGTTAAGTGCTGTCGAGTCGGTTCCAGCCCACAGCAACCCTGTATAGGGTTTCCAAGGAGCAGTTGGTGAGCTTGAACCACCGACCTTGTGGCTCAAAGTGCCTTTGCAGTCTGGCGCCATCACTCCACAGGGCCACACCCCAGGTCTCCTAATTGCTCACATGAGCTCAGTTTTTTGTTTGTTTTTTTTTTTTTGGTACCGTGTAATAAGTTACAACTTATTACTAGTTTTTGAGTGGTTTTAGACACATGGCGACCCCACCCATGTCAGAGTAGAACTATGCCCCATAAGATTTTCAATGACTGGATTCTTGGGAAGTTGTTCACCAGGCCTTTCTTCCAAGGTGCCTCTGTTGTTGCTGTTGTTAACGTGCCTCTGGGTGGGTCCAAACTGCCACCTTTCTGTTAGTACCCATCTGTACTATAAGACAACTTGTTGTTTTGAAGTGTCATTGAGTCGATTCCGACTCATAGAGACCCTGTATAGGGTTTCCAAGGAGCAAATGCTTTAGGATAAACACTGGACTGCTCGCTGAAAGATCAGTGGTTCTTAGGAGGTATACAATGAAGGTCTTAGTGTTGAGTAAGTTATCTTCTGGATTCCTGGTGTGGCGCTAAACGATCGGCACTGGATTGCGAACCACAAGGTCGGTGGTTGGAGCCCACTAGTTGCTCCTCAGAAACCCTCTACAGGGTCGCTATGAGTCAGAACGGACTGATGGCACTTAGTAACTACCACAGAGACATTCTCCCACACAATGACAATAATCCTTTCACTCAGGACACTCAGTATGTATCCATGTGAAGCTAAGTCCATATTCCAGTTTCCTCACTTAGTCAATTCTGCCCTTTAAAAAAAAAAACCAAAAAAATAAAACCAGGCTTCAAGCCCAGATGGCACATCGCATTTATTAGTCAGATCTCTTCAGTCTCTTTTAATCTGGGAGCAGTTCTCAATGGTAAATGCTTTGGAAATTCTAACTAGTGTTTCCCCAATTTTTTAAAACAGCAAATCTATAGTAAAAGTAAAAATATACATTGTTAGTCAGCTTGTACTTACATTCTAAAATACACATGTAGACACACTCTTTCAGAATTTACTAAGTATTTACCATTTTACACAGGAGCCTTGGAGAGGCAGGAGTTAAGGGCTTAGCTGCTAATGAAAAGGTTGGAGGTTTGAACCCAATAGCTGCTCCCTAGGAGAAAGATGTGGCAGTCTGTGTCCTTAAAGGTTGTTGTTGTTGTTGTTAAGTGCCATAAAGTTGGTTCCGGCTCCTAGTGAACCTGTAGAGGGTTTCTGAGGTTTTAAATCTTCACAGGAGCAGAAAGCCTTGTTTGTCTTCCACAGAGTGGCTGGTGGATTTGAACCTCAGAACTTGTGGTTCACAGTCCAGTGCTGATCGTATGGAGCCACTACAGCCCTGGAAACCCTATGGAGCAGTTCTACTCTGTTCTTTACAAACACTATGACTCAGAACCAACTTGACGGCAACAATTTGGTGGGGGTTTTTTTTTCTTGGTTTATCTTTTATGCAATTTTAGTGCTTATGAACCATTTTTCAAACTGAGCATAAGAACAAACCTTTCACACGGTGACCCATTCCACATACAAAAAACACGTACATCTGAATAAAAGTATCATTTAAACTACATTTAGTCCTGGGGTGGCGCTGTGGGTTGATGCGCCAGACTGCAAAGCCATTTGAACTGCAACGTCGGCAGTTCAAGCTCACCAGCTGCTCCTCGGAAACCCTATACAGGGTCACTATGGGTTGGGATCAACTCAATGGCATGTAACAACAACAACAACCCTTAGTACATTTGATATTCCTATTTCCTATTTCTATTTCTCACTTTTACTGCCACAACTCAACAAATTCACAATAACAATAGGTCTTGATATAAAACAAACAAACAACAAACAAACAAAACACTCTATTGCTGTGGAGCTGAGTCCAACTCATGGTGACCTTGTGTTTTATAGATTAGGACTGCTCCATGGGTTTTTTTTAAAGGAGCTCTGATAGAGTAATGGTTATGAATCGGGCTGCGAACCTTAAGGTCAGCAGTTCGAAACTAGCAACTGCTCCTTGGGAGAAAGATGAGGCTTTCTACTTCCGTAAAGATTTACAGCCTCGGAAACCCTGTACAGGGTCGCTATGAGTCAGAACCGACTCGACGGCACTTAACAACAACAAATGGGGTTTTTTGACTGAAATCTTTGGTGTGGCACAAGCAGCTTGTGAATGACACCTAACAGAAAGGTTGACAGTTCCAATATATCCAGAGGTTCCACAGAAGAAAAATTATCCATCTGTTTCTGTAAAGATTACAGGTAAGGCAATCCTAGGAAGCCCCTGAGACCGGAAGAACTAGATGGCCCTGGCTACCTCTACCAAGCATAACTTAGTCTAACTTTTGTTAATTGCTAAATTTTTGTTACTGCTGTAACCCGTGGGGGTTTGGCTAAGCAAGATGTTATTAGCTACCGGATAGCGTGCTTGATATCTACTCCTTTTAATCTAATAGATTTAAAGGGCATTCTCACTCTGAAAGGGATCACATTAGAAGGTCCTGGATAGAGTAGAAGAAAAACGTGGAACAAAACTCAAAAAATAAAAAATAAAAAAAAGACCAGGCTTACTGGTCAGATAGAGGCTGTTGGCACACCCATGACTGTTTTTTTTATGTTCTTTATGGTCTTTAGCCCCCCTTCAGGTCTGGAAATGAACTCATCCCCATGGCTATAAGGGGAACAATGTGTATAAGGGGAACAATGCCACTAGTGAGGTACGCACACCCTAGAAGAGCTGGCCATCTGAGATCAAAAGGGCAGCTTTTACCCAAGGACAAAGTTCAGAGGGTTAGGAGAGAAGGAAATGGAAAGAGGAAACACAGGGAGGAAGTGGGATCAGCGATGCAACAATGAATGGATTACAATCAATGACATAAAACAAAATGTGTCCGAGTTGTTGTATGGAAAACTGGTCTGCTCTGTAAACCTTTACCCAATCCCTAACCTAAAGTAAGGAGCTCTGGTAGCGCAGTAGTTATGGATCGGGCTGCTAACCTCAAGGTCAGCAGTTCTAAACTACCAGCTGTTCTGCAGGAGAAAGGTGAGGCTCTCTGCTCCCATAAAGATTTACAGCTTCAGAAACCCTGTACAGGGTCGCTATGAGTCAGAAACTATGAGTCGGAAACAACTCCACAGCACTTAACAACAATATAAAATTTTAAGATAATACATAAATTACCCTCTGTTTGCACTGTCACATGGGGCTTCCAACTCTCAGCAACAACTTTCACCAAAGCAAATTGCTACGTCTTTGTTCCAAGAAGCCACTGAGTGGGTTTGAACTGCCAGTAAACTGTTTGTGCCTACCCCCCCGCCCCATGGATTGTGACCAAATTTAGGCTCCACACGCAGTTTGAAAGTCACTGAGAACCTCCCTGACTTGGCAGATAATCAAGCCCTTGGTGAGTTCTGGTGTGGTTTGTGACTTGCGGAATTTTTCTCCATGAATTCTGAAGCTGGAATGTACTTTACAGACAATACCAAAACTTCTGAGGTCTTGCCCTATTTTATCAACTCCTGAGTCCTTGTATTACTGCAGTCATCCGCCAACACCGGCTCCCCCCCACGCCCATTCTGCCCAGCCTGCCCCCTGGGCAGTACCTACCTTTCTTTTTGTCTGGGGCCTCTCGCTCAGTGGGACGTCCACCTCCAGACAGGCGGAAGGAACCCTCTCGGGAGAAGCTGGTGCGGCTGGCATCGAAGGCGGCTGTGACCCCACATTCCTTCTCCCGCCTCTGCTTTCGTTCTAGGCAGGCTGCAAAAGCGCAACCCACGGCGTGGCTCAGCCTCTCGCCCTGCAGGAAGAAGCCAGGCAGGTGTCAAGAGATGCTGTGGTGGGCACTGGACTCCTGGAGCCCTGGGGTCCAGCCCCTAGATGCTGGGTGATTCTGAAGGAATCCTTTCACCTCTCTGGCTTCTGTATGCTCATCTGTACCACGAGAAGGGGGTTACAAGTGACAACCCCCAAGTGAAAGAAGCCACACAGAAAACAATGCACACTGTACGGATGTAATAAAGAATTTGGCTGGACTTTGTCTCCAAGTTCCTGGGAAGTGACCTTAAAATCCTGGGATTTCCTGAATGGTTGGAGTGTATTGATTATTCATGATTAGCGCCTTGGACCACATCTGGTAGCTTATGGTAAGGAGATGACTCAGGAAAGGAGTGGCCATGCCAGGAAGACCAACCATGTGATTAGAGGGTTGGGGCTTTGAGCCAAGTAAGACCATCACAGACCTTAAGGGAGGGGAGGGGACTGGAGACTGAGTTTAGTCATGTGGGCGATGATCAATCATATTTATAGAATTATTTTTTTAAAAAACTGCCATCAAGTCGATGCTAACTTATTTGTTGTTGTTAAGTGCCATCGAGTTGGTTCCGACACATAGCAACCCTGTATAGCGTTTCTAAGGAGCAGCTGGTGAGTTTGAACAATGACCTTGTGATTCAAACCAACCTTGTGGTCCAGTGTTTTATCCCACCGTTGCCACACTAGGAGCAGAAAGCCTCATTTTTCTCCTGCAGAGCGGCTGGTGGATTTGAACTACTGACCTTGTAGTGAGCAGTCCAGTGCTCATCCTACTGTGCAACCAAAACCCCAATACAATTCTGGATGCCAACACTCAGGTGAGCTTCCTGGGTTGGAAATAATACTCCGTATGAAATGTTCCCTATTGAAAGTGGGAGAGTAATTTGTCCTGGGCACACAGAAGCCTTGAGCTTGGGACCTTTCCCCACCAGGATCTCACTGCATGTTCCTTTGGTTGGTACTGATTTGTAATCATCAGTGTAGCACATTTCTGAGTTCTGAATCATTCTAGTGAACTATTTAATCTGAGGGAGTCTGTGGGACCCCCAAGTTTGGCATCAGCTGGTCAGACATGCCCCCTGAAATTGTAACTGGCATCAAAAGTCTTGAGCAGAACCAGCACGTTGGAAGACTATGCCCTAACCTGGAGTTTAACTAATTCCAGGTGGAGTCCTGGTGTGGCGCTGTGGGCTAATGCGTCAGACTGCAAAGTCGTTTGAACTGCAAGGTCAGTGGTTCAAGCTCACCAGCTGCTCCTTGGAAACCCTATACAGGGTCACTATGGGTCGGAATCGACTCGACGGCACTTCACAACAATTCCAGGTAGTATTGTTGTTGTTGTTAAGTGCCGTGGAGTCGGTTCTGACTCATAGCGACCCTGTACAGGGTTTCCGAGGGTGTAAATCCTTACGGGAGTAGAAAGCCTCATCTTTCTCCCAGGTAGCATTAGCTCCTAGCTCCATGTATATATAAAACGTCCTAGAGTAGGCAAAATGTATTTATGGTGGAAAAAAAAAATCAGAATACTCATTTCTTGGAATGGTAGGTAGGTATTAACAGAGAGGCATGAGGGAAATTTATGGGGGTGTTGACAGTGCTCTAGTGCTTGGGTTACACAGGTATATACAGCTGTCAAAATCACAACAGTACCAGGAGGGGGATACTCTGGTTTTTTTTTTAAAGGTTTATATTTATTTTTAACCCATGTAATACCTCCAGTCACTGAGTCACCCACCTCTTCACTGTCACCCTTAGTAACCATCAAAGAGTATCACTTTCAGTGTGAAACTTTTTTTGTGGGATTTTTACTACAGTGGTCTTATGCAATATTTGCCCTTTTGTGACTGGCTTATTTCACTCAGCCCAGTGACCTCCAGCTCCATCCATGCTGTAAGATGTTTGGAAGATCTTTTGCTATTCTTTAAAAATACTGCATAGTGGACTTAGTGTCTGCACGGACCAAAGTTTGTTTATCCCTTCTCACTGATGGGCATTTAGGTCGTTTCCATCTTTTTGTGGTTGTGATGAATGCAGGTATACATGTGTCTATTTGTGTCACGGCTCTGATTTCTCTAGGATATATACCAAGTAGAGGGGTTACTGGGTCAGCTGCTATTTCTATGTGTCATATCATTTCCCCCAGTAGTTGCACCATTTTACAGTCCCACCAGCAGTATATAAGGGTTCTATGTTCTAGTCTCTCCACACCTTCGGCAGCATTTGTGGTTTTCTGGTACTTTGCTATTAATGTTGGAGAGAGACAGTATCTCATTACTGTTTTAATTTGTATTTTTCTAATGGCTAATGTCTTGGTGTGGCGCTGTGGGTTAATGTGCTGGACTGCAAAGTCGATTTGAATCTCAAGGTAGTGGGTTCAAGCTCACCAGCCACTCATCTGAAACCCTATGCAGGGTTGCTATGGGTCGGAACCAACTCAATGGCACTTAACAACAACAATGGCTACTGATGGTGAACATTTTTTCATATGCTTATTGGCTGCCTGAGTGTCTTCTTTGGTAAAGTGTAAAGGGATACTCTTAGGAATTCATTTCACAGATGAATAAACTGATGAAATGTCAGTTCACCCAAAACCACACATGAGCATCAAAGTTGTGATTCAAATCAGATTTGTCGATTTCTGCTTGTAACTAAGACGCTTGGCCACCTCTTAAAGTTAAATTTGAAAACAAAAAAATTCTCAGCAAAATAACTAGCAAGCCAAATCCAGAAACATATTAAAAGGATTATAAACCATGACCAAGTGGGATTTACCTCAGGGATGCAAAGATGGTTCAACATACAAAAATCAACCAATGTAACATTCCATACTAATTGTTGTTGTTAAGTGCTGTTGAGTCGGTTTCGACTCATAGTGACCCTGTAGAGGGTTTCCAAGAGGCAGCTGGTAAGCTTGAACCGTCGATCTTGCAGTTCAAACTGATTTTACTGTACAGTGCATTAACCTGTAACAACACACCAGGACACCACCATATTAACAGAATCAAGAAAAACAAAAAAGCAAAATAAAAAAAAAGTGCCATCTCAGTTGATACAGAAAAGGCATTTGACAAAGTCCAGTACCTATTCATAATGAAAAAACACCCAGAAACCTAGGAATAGAAGGGAATTTCCTTGATAGGATCAAAGGAATCTATGAAAAACCCAGAGTTACATACGCAATGGTAAAAGTCTGCATGCTTTCTCCCTAAGATCAGGAACAAAACAAGGATGCCTGGTTTCACCACTGCATTACGACACTGTACTGGATGTTCTAGCCAAAGCAATTAGTCAAAACAAAACAAAATAAAGGGAAAAAAAAAAAAAAACAGAGAGAGAGAGAGAAAGCATCCAAACTGGAAAGAAAGAAGTAAAACCATTTCTATTCACAGATGATAGGATCTTATAGGAGCAAGTAGAATATCCTAGGAATCACAGAACACTGTTAGAGCTAATACACTCAGTCAGTACTCAAAAATCAGTTGTATTTCTGCACATTAGCAACAAACCAGCCCAAAATAAGGCTTAAACTACAATTTCATTTACAACAGCATCAAAACGAATAAACTACTTAGGAATAAAGTTAGCCAAAGTTAACTGAAGGTGCAATGTACACTGAAAATTACAAAACATCGCTGAAAGAAATGGAAGACCTAAGTAAAAGGAAAGACATCCTGTGTTCATGGAAGACTGAATGTTGCTAAGATGGCGGTGTTACACATAGTGATCTACAGATTCAATGTAATCCTTATCCAAATCCCAATGGCCTTTTTGACAGGAATTGAAATGCTCATCCAAAAATTCAGACAGAATTTCAAGGGATCCCAAATGGCCAAAATCTTGAAAAAGAACCAATGTGTTTTAGGCTGAGTTTCCTAGAGACACAAAACCAGTGAAGTTTACATATGTGTACATATACGTTGTTGTTAAGTGCTTCAAGGAGCAGCTGGTGGATTTGAACTGAGGACCTTGCAGTTAGCAGTCCAGTGCTCAGCCTACAGTGCCACACTCCGGTTAGATTTATCTCAAGGAAATAGCTCACATAGTTGTAGAGACGGACAAAAGTGCATGGTCGGGAGGCTTCTGCTGACTCACTTAGCTGCAGGGGCTGACAATTCCCCCAAATTGGCAGGCAAGATGGCAGGCTGTTGGCTCACAGCTCACAGAGGCTAACAAATTCCAAGACTGGCAGGTAATACAACCGACTGCTGGCTCAAGTCCCCAGAACCGGAGATTAGGGGATGATGAGCTGGACACAAGATCCAAAGCCATCAAAGACATCCATATATATTAGATTCAGGCCACACCCCTGATGAAACTCCCTTTCAACTGATTGGCTGCTCATAGTAGGTTTCACCATGGAAGTGAAGACATTATGTTAGATCACTAAAGGGGGATGTAACATAACTACCAAACTGCATCGTAACTGCCAAGCCACTAAGTATCACACTCAAATTGACAAACAACCTTAACCATCACACAAAACCTCAACCTTACTGCACAATGATGGACATACAGACCAATAACATAGAACTGAGAATCAACAAACAAACCCTAACATTGAAGACTGTGATGAAATGAGTCCCTTTATGTGACCTTTTGCCTTGGTTCTTTGGGAAAAAAAAATATAGCTTGAGAGATATTCCTCTAGGCCTTGAGGAGTTATCTTTGCTCTGTTTCTTTGAAAAAGCTCCTTGGGTGGGATGCAGTGGGGTGGGATAGAGTGGGTCTCTCAGGTTGTTTCCTACCCAGGAAGTCTGTTACTTTTGCCCAGTGATTTCTAGGGTTGCCTGGCATTTCCTGGGAAAACTGCAAACAACTTGATGTCTTGATACTTTGACCTGGCAGTCAGCAAGACCTGAGTTGACTAACATCTCATAGGTAACTGAAGATTGGTTGAACTCAGGTTTAGTGAAGGAGGCTGGTCTTATAAATGAGGAGAATCAGGATATCTGGGGATAACTCAAAAAGTATTGCTATTTTTTTATT